AGTACATGCCTTACCCTAGCCCTAACCAGTACCAGTACATGCCTTACTCTAGTCCTTGCCATGCCTAGCCCTAACCCTTACCCTAACTCTAAACCTAAACCCTAATCAGAAATGACATTCCAGTATATCAGGACCAGGCTTTGGTCCCCACAAGGACTACTGGTCCTGAAAAGGTAGGTGAAAATACCAGAAAAGTTTCTATAAAGGTAACAAAACCAAGTACACATACACACAAGTTGGTATTGTTATCCTTATTAGGACATTGCATTGACCTTAATTTCTGTAGTCCATGTCTAAACCTAGTCCTAAACTCTAACCCTAAAATGAAGTTCTGTCATATTGGGACCAGGCTTTGGTCCGAATAAGGTCTATCGGTCCTGACAAGGTAGGTGAATATACCAAAATAGGTCCTAAATAGGTAACAAAACTCAACGCGCGCACACACACACAGCTCGTCTCAGCGTTTCACTGTAACGCTCCACATTCAATGTGCTGTTCAAGTGGATTTTTGGGCGTTTGCACACACAGCCCCACCCTGTTAGCTTATTGGAAAGTTAAGGTTAACTAGTGACTTAAGTGTAACGAGCAGATGAACAATTACCGTCGGGAGCAAAAGAAAAACCACCCACTTTCAGTTCTTGGGTTTAGGACGAAATAAAACCTATGTGGTCTTTACCAGGTTCTAAAGTTATAAAAACTGATCCAGCAGCTCGTAGAACATCCTTTAGCAGCAAGAACTCTGAGCTGTGGTTTCTAAAAGACCGTATCAGTCTCTCACGAGGCTTTGGATGAATTTTAGCCCATTCTTTCCAGCAATGCTTCAGGTCATTAAGGTTTCTGCTCAGCTCTCACAGCATTTCTGTCAGGTTCAGGTTCTGGACTTTGACTGGATTGTTGCAGTACCTTGATTCTTTTCTTTCTGAGCAGTTCTGTTGTAGATTATCTTCTGTTTTGGGGACCATTGACCTGTTGGACCCAGTTTGGTCCAAGCTTCAGCTGTCAGATGAGGTGATTGTGCTGTTTGGCTGCAGTGCATTCTGGGTGGACGTCTTGTGTCTTTGGTCTGGTTTTTGTCCCAGAAGTCCTGTAGTTCCTTCAGATGAAGCCGTCCAAACCTAAGTTGTGCTGCAATGTTGTTTCCAGAACAAGCCTATGACCTTTGACCTGGTAGCAGGGACCTGTAATCTGATATGGAGCTTCGTTCGCTGGGTGTTGCTTCATGGTGAATTTACTGGGATGTCCACTCCTGGAAAGATTGGCAGCTGTCTTCTGTTTCCAACAATTTCTCTCTGCAGATCAATGGACTGCAAATTGTTCGAGACGACCTTAGACCCTGCCCAAAATGTTGTGCAGCAACTGTAGGCTTTTTATTCATTGTTGATTTCTTTCCACTCTGGTGTTGTTTTTGTTCTTTTGAGGGCAGATTGGAATAACTTTAGATCCTGGTAAAATCCTACCGTTTTGTCCTAATATGTAAAACCCGAAAACTAAAATAGAGTGGACGTTCTTTTTCCCGTGACTGTTTGTCTCACACACATTCACACACAGGAAGTTGCATGCTTTTAGCACTCGTATAGTTTCCCCAGGTTGTGGCACTCAAGGCAGGCATGAATTATCTAATCTAGTGCTTACCGGGGAACACGACGAGGGCAGCAGAGCACACACAGACACACTCAAACAAACGAGAACAAACTCAGAAAGAGCTCTCTCCTCCTGTTCAGGTCCAGGTTCTAAAAAAAAAAAAAACTAAGAAGGCGGTAAAATAAGTGAAGCGAGCCGCCATCGCAGCTGCTCCACCCAACATTCAATAAGATGGCTGAACAGTCATTAAAAGGCTAAAAAAACATTCATTAAATAGCTGGATGTTGGGTTTTCAATGCACCTCAGGAGTGAAAGTTAGCAGCTGAGTGAAAAAATAAATAAAAAAATTACAGAAACGTTGTTAAACCATCGTGTCCCGATCGAGTCGCAGATGCAGCAGCCAGTCCGTGTCTTTGTGACACAACACTGAATCTACTTTATTTTCATTTATTTTTTTAAAACTGGAGATGGACTACAATTCCCAGTTTGGCATAAGCTCGGCTTACTCCGTCCCGTAGCTGGTTAACATCAGTTCTTTTAGCTAACTTTTTGATTAATGCTTCAATACATGGAGAACGTAAACTCCTACACACCAAGAGAACACACCAACCTGACAACACGGAAATATATCATAGGTCATGTCATAGATTATAATTTATTACTACATTAAAAGCCTTTTTTCCTCTGTTCTACCCTTTTCTACCTTCCATTTGATTAGACTTGTTAAACTGTACCCTGATCTCCTCTTCTGGCCCTGTTTTGGCCCGGGTAGGCCTGATTTGACCTGTTTTCGGCCTGGTTTGGCTCACATGGTGCAGGATTTGTCCACTGGTGGGGGCAGAGGTGGGGTGCTGCTTTTGGGTGGCACCACAGGTTTAGGCCTCAGGGCTGGAGGTCGCAGCGGGGCCCCGATGCGAGCAGCTGCCACAGGCTTGAAGGAGCCCAGGGCATCTGGGGACAGGTTGGCCGGTCTGGGAGGCCCAGTTGGAGGTCCTGGGAGGGGACTGATTGGACTCAGAGGACTTAAGGGGCTTGGGGTGCCAGGTGTACAGGGAGTTCCAGGAGTCCCTGGCGTTCCTGGGGTTCCGGGTGTTCCTGGAGTGCTGGGCGTGCTGTGGGGGCTGGGAGACTCAGAGGAGCTGGCCGTGACAGGACCGTTCTTCATCTGGTCCAGGGTGTCCAGAACCACATCGGGGGCCGGCCGGCAGCCCTGCCGCTCAAGCTGCCTGAGCTCCCCCAGGGCCACAGTCACCGTCTCCTCAATGTCCTACACACAGGAAGTCCAACCAAATACACCATCAGCATATCAACTGGAAGTG